GCTGAACAGCTGCTTTGTGAGGTACAGTGCCTTCTTTTGTGCTTTGTGATAAAATACATCATCTAAACACACAAAAAATGAAAGAAATCAAGCTCATTGAAAAATACTAAATTCCCTAACAGCTGCTGTCTTGAGTTCTGAACAATGAGCTTGTAGGGACCATAGTTTAGAAGTATGTCTTAAGCTGTTTAAACTATTTTAGTGAACAAGGACAAGCATCCTTTAATGAAGAAAACAATTTCCTTAAGCTGACAATAAAGATCTACTGTATTAGTATGTGATGGTAAAAAAATGTTATGGAATAAAAATAACCACAGATTTGAGAAGAGAAACTCATCCTCGAAAGCTGTAAGTTCATCATCTTACTGAGTGAAGAAATCTGTTAAGGGTTACTACCCTTCCATTTATTTTCCAAGGGAGGAACAACCAATAAAATAAACTGTATGGAGCTTGAAGATATTTCCCCACTTGTGCTGTCAAAGGCTAATTGCAAAAAGTTGTCCAATGCTCATTTCAGTTAATTGGTTACTGCTCTGCTTTAATAGCCCAGGAAGAAACACAGAACACCAAGTTAAATATCATTTTAGGAATTAGTTGGCACAAGCTGCTGCCAGATCACTACATTTTGGACCACTGTACCAATGTATAGCACCTCAGCCCAACAGAGGGAGATGGTATTGTTTCCCACCCTGACTCCCTTCAACTAAATGGAGCAGCACATCATACTCTGCAGAGCTGCATCCAATTGTCTTCGTCTGGTTAGAGTGACATGGGTGCTTGCAAAATAGCAAGGATAGCACTGCAGAAATAGCATGGAGTAGACAGCTTTTTAAAAAAAATGTCCCAGCTGTACAGCTGCATACACACATGCATGTCAAACAGATGTCTACACCAGTGTATTCAATGTGTGTACACCATTACATGATAAACACTTGATGCTAATGAGACATACAATCAAGTTTCATCAAAGACAAAAAGTTCACCAACATTATACACACAAAGAAATCACACAGTACACATACACATTCATGATGTAAAACCGTTGCTGTGAACGCTGACTTTCCTGTGCTGCAAAACATTAACTACTGTGGAATTCAGGACATCATGTTTCACGCTCACCTTCACTGCTCTGGTACCCTCAGCTATGCACCTTTTTTCATGTGTGTCTCAGAACCCTCGCTGCTCTTACAATCTGAACTTGTGCAAGACTCCACTTTTTCCTTTATCTTGGTTTCTTTGTGAGTTTTGGGGTGGGTTTTGTTTGTTGTGGAATTTTTTTTCTCTAAGCCCCACAAAAGTACTTGCTAAGTACCAAAGGTACAAACAAATAGTACATCTATCCTGCAACCAAGGACCCTGTCACCAAATGAGTATGTGCACAGTAACAGACTTGATTTGTCACATTCTAAAGGAAAAAAAAAAGCTACTTTACTGTCCTGATTTTCTGCACCACTTATGCCAGAAGCTTTTTTTTAAAATAATTTTTCTGGCAGCCATGTGTCTAGGACAGACTTAAAGCAGAGTCACCTCATTATAGGCAGTCAGCAATATTCCCTAAATTGCACCCTGTGCATCCACCAGGCTCTATGTCTATTCCCTATGTGAATTGAGTGAATAAAACTTCTCTCCAGAAGGTTTCAAGCTTCAGCTTTAGGACATGAAGAGAGGGTTGTGTTACAGCACAGTTAGTATTTCCTTCAGCTGTACTGAAAGGATAGTCCAGGCAGGAACTTGCTACAACTCAGATAATCCTAAGCACCTCTTTGAGATGTATTCCACATATTTATGTAGTGCATAAGAAGCAAAAATTACTTTAGTTTGATGTATTTGCCATTTGCCAATCCTAAACATGCAAGTTTCATGCGGAATTTTATTGAGACACTACTCTGTTTCGTTCAAAGTCAAACAGGCCAAAAGATAATGCTTAAACTGGCCTCCAACAACTCTGTCCCTAGATCATCTTAAGACACTACAACTAAAAGTACTAATTAAAAGAAAAGATGGAAGAAACCCCACCTGAAGCTTTATAAAACAAGATTTAATTTTGGATTGAGGGAAGTAGGGTTGATTGGAAAAGAAAGGGTATTTGGCAAACCCAGACAATTACTTCGAGATTAGCAAACAAATGTTAAGGCTGAGTAAGTTGCCCTAACACTTCAATGGGGAATTTCTAAATCCAGGGTCTTGGAAGAATTACCCTACTGTTTAGGAACCTGTCGAATATTTAAGGCAAAACAACTGACTACTGTGATCAAGATTAATCTGAGTTTCCATCAATTAAATCCCATCAAGTAAACAAAGGTATCTATTCAATACTAGTATATCCCAGCCCTACAGTGGAAAATAAAGAATGACAACGCTTTTAGCCAATATCATAGCCTAAAGGTTAGGCCAGATGATTCTTGAGGTCCCTTCCAACCCAGCATTCTATGATTCTAAATTACAGGCTTAGCAAATTCAGCCTCCAGAGTAAAGCCAACAACACAGCACTCAGACCAGGGCTGGAGCCTTAGCAATATCCCCTGTGTGATGTGGTGCAACACCTGAGATACAAGAACAGGCCTGTGAATAACAGCCACCTGCTTTGTTTTCAGTGTCTGACCCCCTTCAGAGCCTCATCAATGAGCCACACCAGCAAGCAGTTCTAAGCCTTTCTGGAAAACAGGAAAGCTGAAGCCTGTTTGGATCTTTATGTGGCTGAAAGACTTAATGACAGAAGTTTACTTTGTACCTGTCTGACACAGTTAGAACAGCATTCCTAGCCCTGCAGAACCATCTTAACACTAAAACAGGAAGAAACTAGAGTGCAGACTGAATGTCATAGAGATTCTAAGTGATGTCTGTTTGCAAGCATAATTGCACAATCCCAGACTTTTATTCACTCTCCTCAAAAGGGAGTGTGACATCTTTTAAAATGGTTGATACAGTACCATGATGGCTCCTTACAGAAGCCAGGCTTCAGAATGAGCTCTACTGGTAATCAGTCTGATCCTTCATTCAGAATCTTTCAGCAGACATATGTGGAAGAGAGTCCAGAAGTTCTGCACACATTTTAAGATGTGAGGTAGAAGGCAAGAAAGAGAAGGAGGATGAAATTCAGATACCTTTTTACTTTAACCAGCTATTAAGCCTCTGTTTACATTCAGACACTATGTCTGTCCAAGAACCATTTAAGCCAACAGTAAAATGGAGGTGGGTATTCCCATCACCTACTTTAAGCAGCTAACCTCAGGGTCTAGGTTAAACGTCAGCTATGTCCAGCCAATCAAGAACCATGTTCCCTCTTGTAGATGGCCATTTGGAGAAGAAGGGTCAACCCAGATACTTTTTTACTGATACTCTACAAAGAGTTCACTTTCTTCCTGAGGCTGAGGGTTCTAATTTAAGGCACAGATGTTAGCTCTGTCGTGAGAGTGGTTAACTTTCAAAAACACACCGCAACATTTGAGGCCATTAGCAGTGACTCTCTTCTTACGTATTGTTGTTTTCTTCACTTTTTCATACCTTTATTGTGATTAGGAGAGCTAAGAAGGGAAATAAGGCACAATAAAGGTAATAAATTAGAAACAGTACTTGTAAATATACAATTCTATTTTTCACCAACTTTACTAGGCTCTCTTCATAAGCTAAGCAGCTCTTTGAAATTATTTGTCTGAGTTTCAAAGACAGATGATTGACTTACTACAGAAAGAAAAATATGTGCATACACAACTGTTTAGCTCTATTACTAGCCACTGGTATATACAGATGTGTAAATTTCCTGGAGAAGCAAGTCTTGAACACAAACTAATAATTACTTGTTATTTAAAACATTCAGTATTTAATTTCATTAGTTATATTTAAGATGTTAAAG